TGGAAAAAAAAAAAAAAAAAAAAAATGCAGGAGCTGGGCCTGGTGGCGCACGCCTGTAATCCAAGCACTTGAGAGGCTGAGGCAGGAAGATCACTGTGAGTTCGAGACCAGCCTGGGCTACATAATGAGTGCAATGAATTAATTGAGACATCAGCAGCCAGTTGGAAATATCTGCTATTGACATGAAAGGTTTTGGTGTTTGCTTAACTATCCTAGTATGTTTTGAGTAAAGGGTCAAAAGAGACTGATTTTGGGCCAGGGTTTTAGCTCAGTGGTGTGGGAGCCTGCCTGGTAAGCACAAGATCCTGAATTCGATCCTCAGTACCACCCCCCTCCCCCCAAAAAAAGAGACTGATTTTTTTGTTCTAATAACATCGCTGTGATCAAGACTCCTGTTCTAAAAAGTGGACAGGGCTGGGATGCAGCTCACTGGTCCAGTGCCTCACATGTGGCAAGCCCTGGATTGGATTCCCAAGTATAAGGAAAGAAAAACACAAACAAACAAACAAGCTCATCTGAGGCCAAATAAGATATTAACATGAGCACAGCAAGCTCTTTTCCCATTTCAAAGAAATCCATATCATTGGTCAGGATATGATCCGTGGCATGATGTGGTAGCACACCACTGCAACCCCAGCTCTTGAGAGGCTGAGGCAGGAGGACTGCTTGGGAGTTCAAGGCCAGCCTGATCTACATAGTAAAACCCTGTCTCAAGCAAGCAAACAAACAAACAAACAAAAGCTATGATCTGAAAACAGACCTCGGTCTTGGGGGATGGTTTAAAGCAGTGTTAAACTAATCATCACAAGAGTTTACTATATTATCCTCTGATTAAGACCCAAACATAAGGGGACCAGGGATTTAGCTCAGTGGTGCCACTGACTGCCTCACAAGCTCAATGTCTTGAGTTCGATCCCTGGTACAAAAAAAGAACAACAACAACAAACTCCAAGATTCAGACATAATAGTTCAAAAACAACAAAATGATGAAATGTCAAAAACACACAAAGAAAACAAGAAAAAAATCCTTTAATTAATGACGAAATTTTCTCATCATTGAAGGGAAAGTTATGGAAATACTGATGCCTTGAGCTTGGATTGGTACACGACCTTCATTTAACTTAGGTGAATGTTCAAGAATAGAAAGAAGCAGAGAAGACAGACAGAAAGAGGAGGCCGCCAGAGCAGATGAACAAATAATTCCAGGACACCACGTAAACCTTTTTTCCTCCCTCCTTGCTGATGTAGTTTTACTGTATTACAGAGGACCCTGCTTGACACAGTCCGTCACTTAGCGTCACTCTCTGAGACAGTGAAGCACAGTCCCCTGCCCTGAGGTGGTCCTTGTTACGTTCTTACGCATGACTGCAGGACCTAGTTACACCACCCTGGTTGTGTTCCCGTCCTGCTGGCAGCTAAATCTTGGTGGTAATTACTCTCCACCCCCACCTTGGTTCCCACACACCGGCTCCACCGATTTGGAACTTCTCATTATTGCGTTCTAGTTATTCGGTGAGGTACCCGCATCCCTAACAGACTGGGAAATTGTTGAGGACAGGAATTACGTCTTACTCAGTTTTTTTATTTCTAGAGTGTGTCATGGTTCCTAGCACCTAGACACACTTAAAAATGTTTCTGGGAGATGGAGGAAGGAGGATTCCAAATTCAAGCCCATCCTAGACAGTTTAGTGACTAAGACCCTGTCTCAAAATAAAAAATTAAGGGGAAGGGGCCAGAGATTTAGATCAGTGGTGCCGCTGCCTGCCTTGCGAGCACAAGGACCTGAGATCAATTCCCAGTACTAAAAAATTAACTGTAGGACTTAATTGCCAGGCGTGGTGATGCATGCCTGTAATCCCAGCACTTGGGAGGCTGAGGCAGGAGGATCGCCGTAAGTTTGAGACCAGCCTGGGCTACATAGTGAGTTCCAGGTCAGTCTCAACTACATAATGAGATCCTGTCCCAAAAAACAAAAAACAAAAAATTCTCACACTCGAACGCTTTTGATTCTGACATTCGCATTTCATTCTGTTTACAACGACGGGAGATGGCGCCAGAGGGCTGTGGAATATCTTGGATTTAAGTAGGATTTTAGCCAGCTCCAGTTTGAGCAGAGGGCTTGAGTGGCAGAATTCAGAATTTAAAATTGCCAGCATTTGAGTAGAAACAAAGACGGAGCACCCCGATTCTCTTGACACACCTACTCCAAATCAGTATGGCTCGAAGGCAACAACGGAATTATCCAAGGAAAGCCAAAGATCAAAATGAAGTCCGGGGAGGACGATGCTTGCGCCCTTCCTCCCGCTCTCCTAGAAACCAGAGCCTTTGTCCACGGGGAGCGGGAGCGCCCGGCTGGGCCGCTCACTCAGGAGCGGAAGGCACTGGTTTGGGGCTAGGGCACCTTCGTGAAACAATGTTCGATTGTATACTTCTCAGAATGAATCACACACAAGATACTTTAAATTTTAAAATTCATAGACAAGCCGGGAGGTGGCGCCCAGCAGGACACACTTACCGCCTCTGGGAATGGAATGTCAGCCCCACACCTCCAGGGAGCTGTCCTGACGGAGGTCACTCCGTCCCGAGCTCCTTTTCCCTTTCGTGATGTTTCTGCCTGCCTGCTTTTTTCTCATTTTCCCTCCCTGTGTTAACCGTCCTGTTTCCAATGAAGACGAATTTGCACTTTACATCTTCTATTCTCTATATGAGGGATGGATGGGGCTTTAGGGGAACCTCAAGACAAAAAGCTTTTCCATAAGGGAAAAATAACTTGAAGGGTGATAAGGGACAAACGGGAAACGACATCGGCAAAGCAGAACCGCCGATCGGCCGCGGGGGC